TAGCGGCGCAGTGGGTTAGGGGCGCCCGGGGCGGAGAGCCTCTGGGTGGGAGGTTTGCCGCCCCTACAGAATCCGTTCGCCGCTTTTATAACAATTTTTTGTCGCCCCGCAGGTACTTGGAGGGTAGCCGACCGGGGCGGCCCGCTCCCACCGCCCCCGCCTTGCTACATCACTGGTTGGCATACAGGGTCTGGCGAGAATGCGGCGTAGCTCCTATAACGGCGGATTCTTACGACTCGTGTACTTGGCAAGTACGCCAATATTTGCGTACTTGGCAACTATGCATATCTGTAAACAACATTGTTAGCAACAAGTTTGGTGCTCACGCGGCGGTACGGTTGACTAATAATTGTACAAAGAAACCGCTCACACGACACGGCAAGTAAACGCCAATAATAACCAATGTTTGTACAAGTACACGAGTCGTCAGAGTCCGTCTTATTAAATAACTTAAAAATTCTGTATAGATACCCGACGGCCCATGTATACCCTGTATACCAATTACAAATGTTTGTCAAGTAAAAGCGCATTCTCGTGTACTTGGCAAGCAATGACTAAAGAATACAAGGACATATAACACCCGAGACCAAATTGTTACCATGGCTCCAAACAGTGCCGTGGCCATATATTTTTCATAATTTAGCTGCTTGAAGGGATATTTATATTTTTGATAAATGTTTTGACTACACCCAAAGATATTTAAACTCGGGAGATACAACGATCCTTTCATAAAACGCTCTAAACCTTCATCACACATTGGTTTGAGAAAATCAACGAGTGCGAGAGAGAATGGGCAAAGAAGGGAATAGGGTATCGGCGCAACGGCAACAATGTAGTTGTTTACAAAGATTAGACGGTTGAGGTCAATTTCCATTGGCGTGCCGATCGACCGACAGTATTTTAAGGAAATTAAAATAATTGTTTAATAAATTTAAAAAAATAATAATAACACATATTTGTCGCATTGTAAAAGGTTGAGGGAGGATATTAATAGAAAAAAAATAAGTTGAGGGAGGATAGCGAAATAAATAAAAACCGGCATAATTTTTTATTATAAGATGGCTTTTCACATAAGAATAACGATTAAAAAAATCAATAAGCTTTTTTTACTTTATTTTATTAAATAAAATATCAAATTTTGGGTGTATTAGTAAATGCAGTTTCAATATCTTGTTCCAAACCTTGTTCATCTCCGGTGAATGAGACTCTCTCTATTAGCAATAACAAAATAAAATAGTTATTTTAACCTAGTAACACAATATTTTACCAAAAACTAATATTTGTAGACTTCACATATTTTTGATAAATACTTTATTATTATATGTATATCTATTATATACCTATATGAATTTTACAACTACTCAAATGTGTGTCTAAAGGGATCGCACCGCGATTAAAAAACCGATACAAGACACAAAGTACCAGAGTGGTGCTACCCCAAAAACAAAATAGAAATACATTAAATTATAAAAATAAACAGAATTAAAAAAAATAAAATTAGATAAAAAGAAGTGAAAATATAATTTTATCAGGGATGAGCGGAGATAAGCAGAGAGGCATAACGAAACAGTGTAACCGGAACAGCAACCAATGACGGGCATATCACAAGAACAAGAACCTCACAAATCAGTCGAAGAAAGTATAATTTTTTAAATGATTTATTGTTATGAATTTAGTAAATGATTTTTCATTTGTTTTTTATAATCTGTAAAGGATTGAAATTTAAAGTTAATAGAAATATTATTCCACAAATGTGGCGCTATGAAACTGAAAGATTTTTGGAAGTTAGCTGATGTTCGGTGTTGTGGAATTTTAAAATAATGCACTTGCCTAGTCGAATGATCATGGTCAACGTAGTGAAACAATGCGAACAAATAGGGAGTCTGCTCTGTAGTTAAAATTCGATAAATGAATGTCATTAAATGAAATTATTACAAATCTAAACAAAATTATGATGATATTTGATACAGTGATATTGATATTGTAATACAGTCATCAGAAAAGTCTAGCGATAATTTTAGAAAATCATAAATAAAATAAAATGGCGATTGTTTAGTAAACGGTTCTTCCCTTAGTCTTAAAAAATATTTAGTTTTTTTTCTCTGGTTTGCAAAGGAAAATTCATATTGTTTATAAATAATAAAAAGTGCATGTGCAAAGAATTTCAATACAATAAAATGTAAAAATACAACAAAATGTAGTAGTCATAAAATTCATGTAATTAGTACATTAATTATATGTATGTCAAAAGATGATCATTTACATTATAGCAACCAAAATTTAAAACAAAAGCCGTATTAAATTGTAACGGCAACGAAAAGTAAGGCCGCAAAATTCCATTTTTGGTACACCCCAATAAAATTTTCACAAAAGGTAGGTAATGATTTGTCAAACCCTTAAACCCAAGTGGGTACCTCAATTATACTTATTCAATACCCTTTCTTAAAAGGGAAACAGAAATTGTTATTAAGTTATTAGTAATTAGTACGTACCATGTACCTTTTTTCTACAAATAATTTAATTAATAAATATATAATTTAAAAAACATAATAAATTAATAAATATACAATTTCAAAAATAAACCTAAAAATAAATATAATTTAGAAATCTGCTATTTTTTATGTCTAGGTCCGCATTAGTCCGTATTAAATTTGGATTTAAATGATACACTCTCTTGTATACAATACATGAATGCACCATATTCTCAAATTAATGTCCACAGAAGTCCACAAAATAACGCAAAAATACTATAATACTGCAAATAAAGAATACGGAGCTTGATCGGCGGCATAGCAACATCGCAACAGGAGAATCTAGGAATTTTCATTGATCCTCGAAATCCGTTGTACTACGCCCGCATATTTCTAAAACTAACTGCTTTTTATTATTAAAAGAAACACGATCATGATATTTTTATTCCATTATAAAATTTAAAATAGTTAAGCATTAAATGAAAAAATTGACGTTAGCAAATTAATGTACTTGATATATTATAGAAATATAACGAAATTATTTATTACTTAATAATTGGTTGTGGTATTTAATCGAATACTAATACCAATATACAGGTAAATCTGGCAAGTGTTTTCGGTGTAAGAGAGATGCGAAAATAAGGAAAGAATAATGGCCGTTGAGGGTGCAGCCACACCATCCTAAAAACGGCGTAACGACCTTGAATCGATTTCCAGTAATTCTATTGGCTGAAATTTTTGACAGATGAATTTGACAGATAAAATTTCTGACAGATAAATGTTTCAGGGTGCAGCCACACTATCCTAAAAATGGCGTATCGGCGTAACGGCGTAATGACCTTGAATCGATTTCCAGTAATTCTATTGGCTGAAATTTTTGACAGATGAATTTGACAGATAAAATTTCTGACAGATGAATGTTTCAGCCAATAGAATTACTGGAAATCTATTCAAGGTCATTACGCCGTTACGCCGATACGCCGTTTTTAGGATAGTGTGGCTGCACCCTCAGCCAATAGAATGACTGGAAATCTATTCAAGGTCATTACGCCGTTACGCCGATACGCCGTTTTTAGGATAGTGTGGCTGCACCCTGAAGAAAAAAGGTAAACAATAATTGTATCTCTTGAGTTTAAATATCTTTGACTACACCCATGGTGTAGGCGGTGGTATCATGCTAATTAATTACGAAAAAAACGTATTAAAATGTTAACAAAAGGTACAAAACTAGTATCGACGATTAGCACACGTCAAGTACATATGGTATCAGGAAAATAATTACCAAATTCAATAAGAAAACGCTAAAAAGGTGGAGTGGACTATTTATTTACTTATGAAACACAACTCCTGTTTCTTTCTTATCATTGCGGCTTTTACACTTGAAAGCTGAATACATCACCATTGTAATAAAGTGTATACAAACTTCACTACACACAACAAGTTATTAAAAATCGCTAAAATTGTCGCTGTTGACGAGGTGGTGACTCATCCGTAGGCTCCAAAATGATGGCGTCTAAGGTAACAAATTCTGCTGCAGCCCGTATATGGGCGTTGTCCATCGTTGTCCAGCGTTGTCCACCATGTCCTTGGATTCTTTAGTCATTCATTGTTGGCTAGTATTTTTTATTGACCTACAGGCAGGGTTCGGAAAACTACATGTTACTTTTAAAAACTACATAAACTACATTACATGTAGTTAATGTAGTTTATGTAGAGGGTGTAGTTTATGTAACATATGTATGTAACTTTCAAATGTCAAAGGTTTGAGGTGTGGTTATAATAAGTTGAAGCTTTAGAAAACATATAATGTATTTAAGAAAACAGAAGAAATATGGCTTTAAATATAACTATTCACATCATATTATTTAGACTCCTCATACAAAGCAAAATTATTCATAATATCAATAGGTAGTTTATTAACGTAGTTTTCATGTAGTTAATGAACGGGAAAAGACGTAGTTTTTGAAGAAAAACTACACGTAGTTAATCAGGTAAACTACGTCTTAATTAACTACTTCCGAACCCTGCCTACAGGGTCTAGCTGGAGTGCGGCGTAGCTCCTATAAAAAATAACTTAGAAATTCTGTATAGATGCCCGACTCACCGTGTCTACCCTGTATACCAATTACAAATGTTTGTCAAGTACATGAGTCGTGAGAATGCGCCGTATGGCGCGTTCCCGCTAGACTATGTATGGCAATAGAAAAATTGTTGCCAAGTAGACTAGTCGTGAGAATGCGCTTTTACACGAGTCGTGGGGACACGTATCGTGCTCATTCTTCGCCCATGTAGGACGGTGTGTATAGTCAGTAAAGTACTTGTGTCTAGCCCTAGCAGGCAACTGTTAAGCCCGACCAATCACGTTAGAGTTTTTGACAAACACAAATGAATTAACACACTCCAAATAACCACGCTAACCAACCTGATTGGTCAAGCTTAATAGTTGACTGCTAGGACTAGATACTTCTCAGTAAAGTCGTTGTGCATTCTTTTTAACTTTTACGAAGAATACGAAGTAAAAGACATTAAAAATATAGAAACGATTTTTATTAGAAAAACAGGAAAAAACAAGTGGAAATCCAACTGTACTCGAATATTTTTGACCTACACACTAACAAACCACTTCCCGCGCACCTTAACCTACGTAAAAGCGCCCCAAACCCCCCGAAAGCCGTACTATTTCCTTTCGGGGGGCTGGTCCAGTTTTCCGGAGTTTCGTACTGTTCCGTGGCCTGTCTTTCCAGCTCCGAAAACACGTTATCGCTCGAAGGACTGTATTGCTCCAACGCCTGCAGCTCTAAATCGTCCGAAACACTATTTGCGACCGGTACTATCTCGTCCTGATCGTCCAAAATTGCCCCCACGGTTTTTGCCACGATATTTTCTAGATCCTGCATCACGGACGGACTTTCTACCGATTTGAGGGGTAAGGGAGGAGGTTTAGGTTTGGGAGGCCTGTACTGATAGCTGGATGTTTGGGGATGGTTCCTGTTCGTCAGGAAACCCACGGAAGCCTTCATAGATTGCTGAATAAACCAGCTGGAGGGTGGAAGAACAACTTGCGGTCTTTGAGGAAGCACCACGGGCCTACTATAACCTAGAAACGTGGGCGGAGGGTAAGGAGCGGGATTCTGCAATACCAAGTGAGGAAAATAAGCTGTGTGACGGAAACTGAGCAATCCAGGGTTGGGTACGAACAGTGGACGACTGTAAAACCCCGCTCCGATATTCTGGGGCAAGTATTGGTACCCCGTAAATACGGGAGGTTGTGTACTGGTTTTAGCGTGGTAGTATTGGTAGTTTTGGCTTTGGTACCAATAACTTTCGGTTGCAACTTTCTGGAAGTTCTCCGTTGTCGTGTGTGGAGGTCGGGAAGGAGTTTCTGTGAATGAATCGGTGGTGCTAGAAGCTTCCAACAGCTTTGAAGTGGAGAACTGAACGCTTGTGGAGCGCTGAGAAGGTCCAGCGGTGTGGGAAGTACCTTGAAGTACTGCTGAATACAGTCTTTTATGTGGGGACAAATCATTTGTTTCTTCTGTATTTGTTTCCAACCAAGAAGAGGCCTTATTTTTCTTCAAAATTGCCTCGTTAGGTTGTTTGAAGCCCTGTGCCAAGTCCTGGAACAGAAAATCAGTCCTATTAGTCCGAGGAAGTCCAATATCGTCGTTATTGACGGAGATATAAAAAAAGTGTTAAATAAATGTTGCTTGATTTATAAATGTGCAAATTCATTCCAGTATTTCTACTTTTCGTATACTATATATCGTCAAGAGACAGTTTTTGGTCTGTACTTTGTACTTACATCTTACATGTCTAGGAATGAATTTCTATGGTGATCTTGTGTGATCGGTGGGAAAAGAAAAATGCGAAGTGTCTATTACACAACCCCTTAATCGGACGCTATATTTCATGCGTTTGAGAAAATACTTGCTCTACTGTCTTTGTTCTGTTGTTGAGCGTAATGACTGCACTCTTCGTACATATGAAAAAGCATCACCAAGAAGCCAGATCAGCACCAGATTGACAATTGACATTGTCGGCCTTGTATACTATTTTTATCCAAAGTTTCATTAAATGAGAAATAGCAACACCGCGTATTAGTGCTTCAAATAGTGTACTATTATGCAAAATTCTATAATGAATAATATTCCGTACCTACAGAAAAATGGGCGAATTTAAATAACTTAAACTTCATTATTGCTTTTTTTGGGGTATCCTGTATACAATAAAATCCTCTTAGATAGAATATTGAGAAACATTAATATAAAACTACTAATTGTTATCTTAATCAAAAACATCGATATTGGATTTCCACGGACTAATGGGTCGCTCTGTATAGTATGTAGTGAAGCTGAACAGATTCAGTGATTTAGACCAATCTATCCATTTAATGTAGTCGTTTGAAGTGGTGGGTACGTGTTGCAGTGGGTTCGGTGAACGTACCTCTAAATGGGTAACCGTGGAATAGTCATTCGCTGGTACTCTTGTCCAGGAACATGCATCATTAGTTCCAGAAGATTCCGAAGCAAAAAACTGACTAATAGGAGATTTGAACAAATCTAGATTCTTGATGCGGGTCAGAGGCTGCCAGCCGAAATAAGGGAAACATTTTACGTCCCAAATCATTTTGGTACTTTGGCACTCTGAAATACAACGAATAAAGTAGTATAGGCAAATGTTAAATAGTAAAAATAAAAAACTTCACTTACTTATTTTCAGCTTAAGGGCCATCTCTTCAAACGTAGAGGCATTCAAAAAGGGAGATTCATAGGACAGCTCACAGAATCCGTTGTTGCAAGGAAGGTTATCGTGGTTCTCGTTACAAGAATCCGTATCCTCTTTGTGCTCCTCTTAAATAACGACATACATGTAAACGAGAGCATTATTACCTTAAAAGCCTTACTGTAACACAAGAAACCTATCAGTAAATCGTCTATTTCTTCTAGCATCCATGGTTCATTTACTTCTTCTCCAGAAAAAGTCTGGTAGAGCCTTTCGTACCTCGTCACAGCCGGAGTATAAGACAGTTCTCTGGCTTCGTCATACTCAAAATTAGCATATCTAGCTAGCTTACTTTCGGGAATGCAGTCCCTAACAGTCCTCGGACTGATTCTTTCCCATCTGGAAGCTTTAAATTGAGCTTGTCGCTCTTTCAAATACAATCCCTAAAAGAAAAACGTCAAGAGATTTTGTCAAAAATGTACAATATAGGTTAAAGTAAGCTGGTACCATGTTGGCCCTCTGAAAGGGTCCCTGGTCGACGCTCCAAGTAGTGTCTGCGCAGAAAGACACGTTTTGGAAGGCGGTGCGCAGCTGGTTGGTGTTGCACATGCGACCGGCCTCATTCACGTCAATTTTGACGCTCAAAATTGACGTCAAATGATCTATTTGTGTGAGAACCAGGTGTCGAAGACGCGGTTAGTACCTACCAGCAGTAGGTACATACCTTGTACCATTTCAAATAACAATACTATAATATTTATGTATAGGTACTATGCATCGCTCAATCACCGAAGATGAGCGTTGTTAGAAGAAGTGAGCAATTGGACGGATAACCGCTCGAAAAATTTATCGAGAAGCGCAGCTTAATCACTTATCAAAATAAGACGCTCATCATTTCTACTATTTTTTTACAGGGTATACAGGGAGAGTTTCCTACCATGTTCTGTTCTCTCTGAGTATCTCGGAAACTACTGGAGGTAGAGAGTCGGTTAAATGGGGAAAGAATTGCAGTTTTGTGGGATCATAAATATGCGCCTTTCAGATTTTTGAAAAAGTTCATGGCTTACTAGATATTTCGAAAAAAAACAAATTTCCGCAATTTTAAAAATTGTCCCTATTTCCATTATAAGCTATTTTAGACACAAAGTTTTCATATAAAAGTTATAGGTAATCACACCCTTAATGAGACTTAATGAGAATGTGTTTCTTCTAAAGCCTGTCATTTTTGACATATAACACAAACATATGTTTTTTTAAATGGAAACCATAGTTGGCCATAGTTTCATAAAAAGCGCTATTTTTTAAGCTTTTCAGCGATATAAGCTATAATATGTTTTCTTCGAAAAATTACTGAGTTATAGCCAATTCTTATAATTTTTTAACAATTTCTCTTAGTTAGTCATGGAAACAAGTTTAATCGTCTTTGCTCTCAGAAATGTGAAGCAATCACATCCAAACTTTGTAAATTAAAATATGCAAAAATTGTAAATATGAATTTTTCAAATGAAGAAAAGCGTGTAGGATTATTGGTTCAACTTTTCTTGACCATACATTTTCGAGGATACGTTGACTGGTGAATGTTACGTTTTTTAGAGGTTTTCAAGACATGTTAGAAAAGTTAAATTTAGTTATAGCCAATTCTTATATCTTTCTTGGCTAATTTCAATTAGATTGCATGATATTCTTATTCTGCTATGATTTACAACTTATAAAAAGTCAGAATTTATATATTAAAATGGTTCCTTACAATTTACACAAACTAAAACTAAAAAAATAATATCACTGCATACACTTTAAGTTATTGTTACGTTTTTCGTCGGTTCCGTGTGGATAGAAAGTCACAATTTATTTAAACACTATTTTTTATAACGAATGAATCATTGCGGTGTCTATGCGATGTTAAGGTCATCCGAGGGCGGGCCATATTGTGAGGTTAGGTCGAGTCCACACCGGCCCGCAACACTGCCCCCTTCTTAGGCACATGCTCGTCCCGAGATGTATACGGTGAATGAAGGTATTTGCAAAGCTGGCCCCTGGTACATTGCGAAGTCTGAGTGAAATCTATTACCTTTTTCAAAAGACACAAATTTTTAAAATAAACCTTTCGTAATGATATAAATTGTACATTAAAAAATATAGAACTGATACGGAACGGAAGCTTACGTATAGCGTCAATACAATAAAAAATACGGAACGGATATGGAATGGATATAGAATGGAAACGGAAGGTATAGTGAGAATCAAGCTTTAATATGGAGCTGAGTTATGTTGTCTTTTTCTTACGGCACGGAAAAAGCACACAGGGTTAAATAGGGAACACTGAGTATATATTATTATTTATTTATATGTATTATGTATATGGTTATAACCGGCAAATCGGCTATAACTCAAGAAAAGGGAACACACAATAGATCTGTAAGGTCGCCGTAATTAAGCCCCCTGCAAAATATTCTACATTCTACATTAAATAAATAATAATAATAGCTCCCGTATATAGCGTTTAACGCCTTGGGAGTAGCAAGGTACAGCTTGCCATGCTAGAGCCGTTCGGTATACAAGGAAGGTAATGTGGCTAGCACTACGCTTCCACCGCCTAGTATTATTTTAGGATTGTGAATCCCAAGTATTAATTTAAGGCATTACATTCTAGGTACCCAAACTATTTTTATTTTAATAAAAATAGTTGGCTGATGAAATGCGGGCTGTAGGATTCAAATCTACATCCTTGAGATTGGTAAACGAGAGCTGTACCTCTACACGTCGCCGGGCACATTCTACAATAGATTGGGAAAAATTATCTATAGTTATTCTCGTGTAACTTTTCCAGTCATATATTAAAATTTGGAAAACAAACGTATTTGAAACATGGAATATTGACCTTCCTCTCGAAAGCACTCTGCTTCGTCCAGATTAGTCCTTGCTGCAGGAGTATGATAACTTAAAATTACTAAAATCCCATGCGCAGATGGCTTTTCTCCTTTTTGCCCACCAGCCCAAAGAGATTAATATCAAGAAGATGACACCGTAACTAAAAGTTTAACATATTGTTACGTTTTTCGTCGGTTCCGTGTGGATAGAAAGTCACAATTTATTTAAACACTATTTATTTAACACTAATTAACAAAAACAATAACGATAAAAGACTTAAAGAACTATTTACAAACGATTTATAACTAAGAATTTATTTTTGAATTTTAGCGCATCAACTACACTCGTCTATTTATAACTGCCCTCTCTAGGCCACAGCCGCCGGCTTTTATACCGACAGCTAAAGATCTCTAGAATAGTCCATAGATCGTTAGGTGCATAGAGAAGGTTTCGATTGTTCTCGTATGTACTACTCCATTCCAGTGGAACTCGTTTCTTCTCGAATCTTCGAATGAATCATTACGATGTCTATTCTTTAATGCGATGTTAAGGATATCCGAGGGCGGGCCATATAGTTAGGTTAGGTCGAGTCCACACCGGTCCGCAACAATATATTTATAGAAAAGGATAAAAAAATGAAGAAAAGTCGGGACGTCGAATTACTGGTGGTGCATCGTAGTTGGAAATTGGAAACATAACAAATTCCATTTTTTAAAGTGTCTAAATATTGGCTCTTTTGTTGATTTTACACCGAAATCGTACATAGGATTTTAAAAGTCTGCGTATGAGAACTACAAATGCCAAATTTGAACAATTTTGGACAGCCACATTTTACTAATTTAAGAAAAACTGTGCATATATTTTTAAATTAAAACTAACTGAACAGTTAAACAATGCAATACCAGGCAAATGCCAATATACCTTAAAGTTTGGACAATGCGAGCGTCACACATAAAAAAGCGCTGTTTAAATCGTACCCAATTGTGTTAAAATCAGTTGATGCCTTCTAAGTGGCGTCCAACTGAGACGTGCGCAGCTTTCAAGTGAAGTTAATCCAAGTACACTTTGATTTATCAATGTCAATACTATACAGGGTGTCCCAGAAATAAGTGCAAGTATTTTAACTAAATTCAGTAAAAAAACTTTACTAAATTCACTAAATTTTACTTTAAAAATTTCCAAAAAAAGTTATTTTTTGGTAAAATTTTGAGAACCACTGGATATTTTCTGGATTTTTTTTCTTGTAAATTTAATCTAATACCTATGTTGCCATATTATCAAGAAATTATATTTTTAACTAAAAGCTAAAAAAAAGTTCCAATAATTTTTTCAAAAAATTTCGAATTTTCAAATTTTTTTTTTGCGAAAAAAATCACATAGGCGTGTTTCTGGGGTTGAACCAGTTTGGTCTACCAGTTAAAATACTTGCACTTATTTCTGGGATACCCTGTACAGTACCATAATCATATACATATACCTACTCTTCTTTAAAAAAGTCTGGGTTTATTGTCACCAGAAAACAAGTTTACAATATAAAAAAGATACTTTTTGTAAACACCATTGGAACAACGGAAACCAACTTGTGAGTGGATCAACACATCATCTACTCATTGGTCAAAGAATGCCTAGAGAAGATGAACAAATTAGGCAGAGAAAATAAAGTCATCTTCCTACTCTGAGTGCCAGCTCACCAAGATATAGAAGGCAATGAAAAAGCAAACGATCTAGCTAGAAACGAAGCAAACCAAACACTTCACTAACTGGACCAGAATCGTTGTGCTTTCCAAGTGGAAACCAACGTCAAGCGGAACTTAAGAATCTGGTAGACTCCATCGGTAACCTGGAATGAGAATCCTCCAAGAGTCTAAGACGTCCAAAGAAATTTCTCAGAACTGACGACTGAGAAAAATCAAAGATTTCCCTTTATTTAAGTACTAGCGTGTACCAGCGACTTCGTTCGCGTCGAATTAATCATTTGTAATGGTGATGATAAGCAAAGCAAGAATTTCCATTAACACACAAACTGGATAAAATTTTCTCACATTTATGTCAGCATGAGAAAAAACAATAAGGCGATATTATTATATAACTTGGTAATATTTGAGGGGTAGTTTCATCTCGTTGGAATTTGACTTTCGAAAAATCCGTTTGCCAAAAATAAGCTTTTTACGTCAAGCAGTTTAAGCAGAATCGTGGTTAAGAAATTACCCAACTTTTTGGAACACCCTGTATGATTTTTTAAAAATATCAAAATATGTAAAAAACCAAATAAATTATGCTTGTCTAAGCGTTTTCCCGAAAAGACTAAACGTTTTTTAAATAACAAATATTGTAATATTTGAGGGGCGTTTTCACCCTCTTGGAATTTGAGATTCGAGAAACCCCTCCTTATCGAACCTCTACACCCCACAGTCAATCCGTTTGCCAAAAATCAGCTTTAAACGTCAAGCAGTTTAAAAGCAGAATCGTGATTACTCAATGGTCATATTTTATGAAACACCCTGTATAAATTTATAAAAAATCTTAAAATATGTAAAACAACAAAATAAAATATACGTGTTTAAGAGTTTTCGAAAAAAACTCACCGGTTTTTTTAAATAAAAATATTTTAATATTTGAGGGATAGTTTCACCCCCTTAGAATTCGAGTTTCAAAAAATCCCTTCTTATCGAACCTTCACACCCTAAAGTTAATCTGTTTTCCAATAATCAGCTTTTTACGTCAAGCGCTTTAAGCAGGATCGTGATTAATCAATGACCAGATTTTTCGAAACACCCTCTATACATTTTTAAAAAATCTTAAAATATTGAGATGAACCGCCTATTTAAAAATGGACAATATTTATTTAAATTCAAAACATTCATTTTTAAGACACTCTGTATACATAAACAAAATTATTGATTTTTAAAAATATTATTCACAAACTCGGGAGAGGGAAATCAGGCGACGAACAGATGTGATATTTGTTAGATAATAGCTTTTAGACTACCATTCGAGACGCATTGATATTATTTTGGTTCCTAAGTTTTGTGACAAAGAATGTTATTAAAGGTAAAGTAAATGTGTTTTCTCATTATTTAACTAATGTTAACTAAATCATATTATTTTGTTTTCTTG